ATATTTTGGAAAAAAATTGGTTTGGTAAAAAAAAAAAAAAAAAAAAAAAGAGGAAAAAAAATGCAGTCACAGGTGCTTACTTTCTAAAATGTGGTTGGATGAAAACATTATGTTCGTGCTCATCTTACTGTGTAGTAGCTTAGTGGTTGATCTCTTGCCCAGACGGTGGGAGACCAGGGTTCTGTGCCCTTCTCAGCTAGAAGGGGTTCAAACTCTTTTCTGTTGCCTCTTAAGAGTTCCCTCAACATGGGGTTATAAGGTAGGCTGGGTGGGGCTACAGTCTGTGGTTCCCTGTTAGTGCTGTGCCACGGTGCAAAAAGCACTGCCAGGATGAAAGGGCACAAGAAGGAGCTTTTATTTTACATGGAAGAGTCCCTGCAATAATAATACTGCTAGTCTTGGGTGCATTCCAAGCAGAGGACTTGACCACACCTTCAACTCTCCTGTGAAATATGAACTTTCATTTCTACCCAGGAGAACTGGTGCAATCTTTTCTCCTATGCTTGTGCCTGAAAGCTTGCAATTAACTGAACTTTTTTTTGCAAAAATCTAGTTGGTCTAATAAAAGATATCGCTTCTACCATGAGTTCCGATCCTTTTTGCAATCTAGGACTTTCCTTTCAAGTGAGTGCCCTCACTACTGCCCTTTGGGCCATGCTTCTTCTTGCTCATGTGCTTTTTCAGGCCTCATGATTCTCCAGTTCCTTTCTGCAGTGTCCCAGCATCAAGGGTTGGGGAGGGTCCCTGCCCAGCCCAGCATATAGGCTGGTTGTTGGGACATTATCTTGGGAGGTTTGGGATATAGATTAAAATTCCCTCTGGCTGAGGAGCCCTGGTTTCCCAGTTCTGAGGCAAATCCTCCAGCTGGCTACCTGTTATATATTAAGCACCCAGAGAATGTGATGCTGCCATGCTTTCATAGTTTCAAAAGAAACCGGTGAGCTCTGTTGGTGATTACTTTCAGAAGGGGATCCTTGGCTCCGGATCCCAACTTTGGCTTTACCTTCGGCGCCTGAGCTCTAGGTAGGGGCAGGATTTCAGACATGGCCTTGTGCTTGCTGCTTCCTGTTGACTTCCTGTCTTCTTGCTCAGTGCACTGGCTGTTTTGGCTCCTTCTTCAAGGCACTCATCTTCTCATCTTTTCCCATTCAGGGAGTAGGGAGCCCGTGTGACCAACGCTTTGAGTTTGGATTCCATTCTGGGGGCTAGGAGACGCAATGTTAGCATTGTGGTGACTAACAGCTATCCAAATCCTTTTTTTGGATGTAATCTTCTCTTAAGCACTTAGAGAAGTAGGGCTGGGCGGTACTTCCAGATGCCATCTAGTCCAGCCCTCTGTTTGAGGGAGGATCATCCCTATCCAAACCATCCTGTACAGTCTGTAATTTAAACTCTTCCAAAAACTATTATCAACCCTAACCTGCCACAGGTAAAGCAGGGGAACCACAACAACCAATATCCTGCTTCTATGAAATGTTGTCAATAAATGCTCATGGGATCCCAGGTAGAGGGCCATGCACCCTGCTACAGAAGAAGGCAAAAACCCCATAATCCATACCAATTTGATCAGGGGGAAAGTTACTTCCCCACCATAAATGTTCATTGGTCTGATCCTGCACAGAGGGGCAAGGACCTCTATCCAGGAGTCTCTAGCTTTAGTTCCAGCAGGAGAATTGACACAGCCCAGTCAAAATACCAAGACTTGGCTGCAGCCAACACCCAGTGCTTCTGAGGGAGGCTTAAAAACAGGCTGACACATAAGAAAGTGCAGGAGCAACTAGCAAAACCTGGAAGCTTGGGAAATACCCATAGCAGAACGTAAGTATAGTTGCACCTAGATCATCCTGAACCAGTGGCTGTCCAACTTCTTGAAGACCTCCAGTGATGGAGAGTCCACAACTTCCCTAGGCATTTCTTCCACTGCCTCACTGCTCTAACAGTGAAGATGTTTTTCCTGATATCCATCCTAAACCTACTTTGCTGCGACTTCAACCCATTGTCCATTTCTTCCTTTCTGCAATAAGAGAGAAAAGATACTTTTCCTTTTCTTTATGGCAGTTCAAGTACTTGAAGACTGATGTCACGTCCCCTCTTAAGTGCCTTTTGTGCAAGCTAAACACACCTAGCTCCTTTAGCCTCTCCTCATATGACTTGCTTTCCAAGCTGTTTATTATCTTTGTTGCCCGCGTCTGCACCCTCTCTAACGTCTCCTGGGCTCCACATTTTAAAAAGGATGAGAACTGCCCACGGTACTCTGGTTGAGGCCTAACCAGTGTGGAGTAGAGAGACACTATTGTCTCCCATGTCTTGCTCCTAATGCTTTGATTGATGCATCCCAAAAACACATTTACCTGTTGTGCAGCTGTATCACAGTACAGACTTGTACTGAGTCTTTGATCTACCAAGATTCCCAAATCTTTCTCCATAGTGCTGCCATACAATCAGGTATATCACCCATTTTGTATTTGTGGGTTTTTTTTATTATTCTTCCTGAGGTGTAGCACCTTTCATTTGTCTGTATTGGTTGTCATCCTGTTAGCTCTGACTCAGCTTTCCAATCAAAGAACCATAGAAAATGAGGGCTGGAAGGGACCTCAGGAGGTCACATCTAGTTCAATCCCCTGCTCAAAGCAGGACCAGCCCCAACTAGATCACCCCAGCCAAGGCTTTGTCTAACCGGATCTTAAAAACCTCCAAGGATGGAGAGTCCACCACCTCTCTAGGTAGTCTTCCAGTGCTTTGCTACCCTCTTTGTGAGGGTTTTTCCCCTAAACTGGAAATTTTAAACAGTTTTTTTCCCAGTCCTTTGGGATCCTGCTGAGTTGTGCTCCCATCCTCCAGCATGTTCACAATCCTTCCCAGTTTTAGGTCATCTGCGAACTTGCTGAAGAAGCTTTCTATGCCAGCATCTAAACCCATTAATAAACACATTGAACAGCGCTAGGCACAGACTCCACTTGAAACCTCTTGCCATTCTGACATGGATTGGTTAATAATTTACCCTTTGCAAAGTTACACTTCTGAAACTCTAATTTGGTAGCAGAAATATTCAGATCCTTGCGTGTGGCGTACCATAAGATGCATGCCATAATATGCACAGGTAATGTAATTAGTGATCTAAAAGTCCTGGTGAACAACAAACCTTCCCCTGTCAATTATAAGTAATGTTGCCTTGTAAAACTTGAAAATTGTAGACTTTGAAGTCTTAAGGTTTGTGGAAAAGAAATGAAGAAACCTGTTTTACAGGAGAACGTTTTTTAGTGTTATGAGGAAAGGATGCAAAAAAAAAATGTACCAACTTTAATGTTAAGAAAAGTATATATTGTGGGTATTCTGGCAACTCCTAAAAGGAATATTTATTGCTGTTTTAATTTTGACAACCGTAATCTTTGGGCTTAATTCGGTGCTTTATCTTAGCTCATATCTGAGCCTGCACTTCTGGTTAGAGTTTGAGCGCTGCGTGCACGAGTCCTGAACTAATACTTGCAAGTAGTGGTGGGAGTGGGTGTTGTTGTATGAGTAGAGATTGAATGAATCGGTGTTCACTGAGTGAAAAAAGAGCTACCATTTTAATTAGTCTTCCTTTAGAGCAGATGTTACAAGGCATGAATAAAGATGCTATTTCTAATCTTACAACATTATCAGCAACAAGTTTTAGATTTAATGCTCTTTTTAATGAAGAAGAGCACAAAGTGGTGGTGGGGGTGGGGGCATAAATGCTTTGAATGAATGATGAATCGGAAAAGGCTTTTTTTTTTTTTTTTTTTTTTTTTTTATGGGGGCCAGCTTTTTTTTAAAAAGGGTTATATTTACAAAAAAAACAAATGGGGGGTTTTTTTTTTTTTTTTTATGGGGGCCAGCTTTTTTTTAAAAAGGGTTATATTTACAAAAAAAACAAATGGGGGGTTTTTTTTTTTTTTTTTATGGGGGCCAGCTTTTTTTTAAAAAGGGTTATATTTACAAAAAAAACAAATGGGGGGTTTTTTTTTTTTTTTTTAATGGAGACTAGCTATCTTTAAACAGAGCTATAATTGACACAAAAACCAGATGCGTAGTCTTCGTTTATTTGCTTTTTTCCCCCTTCCTGGTATGTTTTTCCGAGCAACACAACCAAAACAGACACATTTTTGATTCCAGGATCCTGCTACATTTTTGTGACTTATAATGGATATTGTTCTTTTCAGTTTTCTCTCTTCTGGGGAAATCGCCTCCATGGTGATCTGTTCCAGCAGTTACTCAACCATCATGGCATTTTGCTTCCTGGAGGAGCTCCAGTGGGAATTTGCTGCTGCCTATGACACTACAAGCATAGGTTTGGCTTCCAGACCATATGCTTTTCTCGAATTTGGTTTGTAGTTTTATTCCCTTGTTAGTCTTTTTCTTTCTAGTAGCAAACAGATTGGTTATAATGAGAAGCAATGATAATGTCTAATCATATACAGTGGCTTTACTTGGATGGAAGACAGACAGCATGAGGGAGCAGAAGGGGAGAAATGACTCTTAATTATGCAGCACCAATAGATTATTGCTGTGGTGGTACCCAAGAGTCTCAGGATAGACAAGTGTCATTTTGTGCTTGTTGTAGAAGCACAGATCAAAAAGACTGTCCTGTGCATTATAATTTAAGACAAATCACAACAGGAGGAGACTGGGAGCACAAAACACTGGAAGATGATATAGGAACCTAAGTGCTGCATTGAAACATTTAGTCATACAGGGTGGGTTTCTCTTTGTGGATGTAAATACATGGCTAGTTTGTCAACCATCTGGCACTCTGGGGTGATCCTCACTATTTTGAAAAATCTAGTTAACTTCAATCGCCTTTTTATGAGAGAATCCATACTCTGAGTGGTGAGAGAATGCATTGGATCCAGTAGCATCTAGCTTTGAAATAAGAAAGTTCAGGTCCTGCATCCAACAATAAGTCCCTAGAGAAGAACATGGCATGTGGAAGTCTGTCTTTATGAGGGAAGTGGCTGCAGGCCCCATTCTAATTTTGACATATTTCTATGCTGAATTTGCATACTTCTTCATTTTTGGCTTGGGGATTTTTGGCCATTTATTGAGAGAGCAATATGTAGAAGTTCTAGGTTCCTTGCATCTTTTCCGTATTCACTATCACGTTTTTCCCTGTCTTGTTGTCTTTTCATGTTGTTACGTGCTGGTTAATTAAATCCAGGAGAATGCATCATTCTGAATATAGCTTAAGATCTTAACTGCTATTTGGCAGTTATGGATCTCTGCAGTTTTTTCACTCAGCATATTTCAGTGCTAAGCTTTTTCTAGTCTTTGTGGCTTGAAATCCTCTATTTTCACTTGATGCCCTGTTCTCTGTCTCAGAGCACTTAGTGCAGTTTGTAATCTTCCTTTAGGCTTTCTCAGATGTTTGATGTTCCATAGCAACAGTAGCCAACCTAAATAACATGGTATCACTCTTTTTGTTTGGCTTCCAGCTGAAAGATCACATCTTTGTTTGACGTAAATACAAATTCCCTTTATTCAGTTAGTAGATTACTACATTTCACTAGCGCCAGTATTCAGAGTAACACTAGAAGTAATATTTTTGTTTAAATATTTCAATATTTTGTGTTTAAAAAGTGCAAAAGCCTGAACACTTTAAAGTCAATATTAGGAAAATCAATGGGGCAAGAGAACAGTTGGTGATATGGGATCAAACCCTGGAGCGATGGGTAACAACTGCTGAGGTCTTAGTGGAGTTAGTCACCTTAGTGCATTGGCAAGTTGAATCAAATCAGCTGTGAAACCTGCAAAGACAGGTTTGTATGTGAACAGTGTTATAAAAATCTGACTATAGCACACTTACTGTGGTGTTGTATTGCACAAGTCTCAGATGTAGGTGTCTGCTGTCCAGAGAAGCTGTACTACTGCCAGCACTGCTTGAACTGTAGGTCTCTGTGTAGTAATTCTAGAATACCTGCTACTATTGAAAGATGCCTTTATGTTGCAGAGTAGGTGGGATCTAATTGTGTTCCAAGCTTCAGAACAGTTTGTAGGCTTAATTAAAAGATGGTTAGGTTACCTCTCCCTTGCCTATATTTTAAGCATATTGGGTGGGTGGGTGAGGGGATAGGGTGGTTGATTGGCATCCAGAGCTAAGCTGCCTGCATTACAAAGCAAGTAGAAGGCAAGATAGTTGGCTGAAAATGGTGAACAAAACAATGCTAGACCTTGTACTAGTAAGCTTAAACAAACAGCGAAGACCTTCAGGAATTACACTAATTATAACAGTCCAATGTCTTAATTTAAGCCTGAGCTAATTAAAGCCTTTTTTGACCAAATGTTACAGACAATATTATTCAAAAAGTGAAATGTCACTTTAACTACACGGGCTGCTCTCACATGAAGATCAGTCTGGAGAAAATTCAGGAAGAGCTGAAGTTCAGGCCTCCTGTGCTCCTGAAACTGGAGGATATGGAGCTGATGAATGGGCTGACTAATGGTGGGCACACGGAACTCTACATGGGGTCTGGTAAGTGCTGGTACGAAAGTAAGCAATGCAGGTCTCTTGTGAACATCCACTGATGGGGGCGGGGGGTGGGGGGATGTTTGGAGAAAACCCATGGTCTTCACTGTACTTGGGAATCCATATAAATACATACATTTGGGGGAAAGGCAAACTTTTTCATCAGTCCTTTGTGTTCTGGCCAATAAATGGTGAAGTCTCCTTCTATTATGCACTTTTAACCACAGTGTCTCTGTGTGGAAGCTCATTATAATCAGGACTGCCCTGCATTTAAACAAGTTGAAACTTTAATTTTACTTGAGGAAAATGTGTCATTATATCTTTGTGAAGAAAAAAAGGCCCAATGTATAATTCCAGGCTAGATTTAATTTAGGTTTAAATTTAATTTAATTTAATTTAATTTAGGTTTAAGGAAGAAAATTACTCAATAAATGTCTTAAGTACAGGGCAGATATCTCCTGCATCTTGAATTAGTTCACAGCCCTGTACTTTCTCTGTTTCCCAGGAGTTGGATAAGATAATGCTTTGCATTTTTAAAGCTTCAGTTCATAAAAACCAGAATTGGGATTTTACAGGTTGCTGTAAACAGCTTGTACAAACAACACAAAGTGGTTTAACAAGGTGGTGTCTTCTTACAAATACTGAGAAATGTTTCCCTCACACTGAGCATTGTCTTACTGTGCATAATTTTTGTAAAAATGGTGCTTTATATAAGTTGGTTGCTGGATATATCCAAAGTCATTGGTGCTTCATTTACTTAATAAAATAAATTTAAATGCTGTTTAATAAATATTGTAATGGGTATAGGTTGTAGCCGTGTTGGTCTAAGGACACAGGCAGACAAGGTTCTTTGAGTAAATCTGATATCTTTTATTAGACCAACTCAAATAGCTGGAAAAATTCCTCTTAGTATTTATACCTGAAAGCTTGCTAAGAAGAATTTTTCCAGCTATTTGAGTTGGTCTAATAAAAGATATCAGATTTACCCGAAGAACCTTGTCTGCTTAATATTGTTGGCAGCCTTTATTCTGCCAATGGCATGAGACAATGGAGTGTATTCTCTTTGTTGGTGTTCCATAAACCATACATTTTATTTCCATTTGCATTAGCTTTTTGTTCTTGATGGGCAAGTCAGAACTCAGCCTAACTTGTGTAGTTTAGGCTGACTACACAGCACTAAAAGAGAAATCTTAATTTATAAAATAAGCTTATTTAATTAGCAAGTCATATTTTATAGTTGCTTCTCAAAACAATGCTTGGAGGGAAAATACCTCATCTCGTGACCTGTCAGGTCTTGAAATTCTTTGGACCAGTACAGATGCTTTCAGCATCAGTAAATGTTTCCAAGCTGGTCCTGGACCAGTAATAAGAAACAAGCGTTCAGCACTCGTAATCTCAATATCCTTACTGTATTTATTTGAATACAAGCTGAGTGTTTTCCCCCCAGTTGGCATGGGGGGAAAAAAGCCCCTTGTCTTAAAATGACATGCAATGAAATCTCATTAAATATGTTGTCTATCATTAAACTACTGCCAAAAACAGCATGTGCTCAGCAATGGAAACTAGCTATGAAGTTGATTAAACGCAGCCTAACACTGAGCGTGATTGTAAAACACATGGCCCACATTGGGCAAACATGCTGATGTTGCGATACCGCAAGAATAGGTTTGTGTAGCTTACCTGAATAACACATATGGAAATGTCCATTGAGTGCAGTCCCACTTGCCGCCAACTCTTTCTCAAGTCATGGTTAGCCACGACGTTCCATACAGTTGACCCAGCATCCCTCTGTTGCTCTTTCTGTCAGCCTGATGCATATTATTGTGACTCTGCCTTCCCTGAGGTGAAGCCAGACCAGGTTGCCCTGCACTACATATGCATATATTTTTTTTGGAGCATCTCAGCACTTGTAACGAGAACACCTAGGTCCAGGGATAGGAGGGGGGCGGTAATTAGCTTATGGATCCTTTGTGGAGGTATCTGAAGTACACGCACATACTGAGCAGTGCTGAACTACAGCATCACCATAGCTTGAGATGCTGTTAACTCTGGCGGGCCCCAGCCCAATGAACTTTGTAGTAAATCATGAGCTTTTGGCTTTGGACTAACATCATGCATAACATCAGGTGCCAACATGCTGCTCAGAAGAACATTTATGGAGTACCTGTGCTAAAACTTGAGCAGCTTAAAAAAAAAAAAAGGTAACATGCATCAATTCTGGATAAACTAAGTGCACAGATACTGTATGCAAATTGCTACAGTCATGTTTAATTTCAAGCTTATTGTTTTCAAAGTTGCTTCTTCCTTCCATGTGCTCCAGGAGAACAGGGTCTGACAGTAAGGAGAGGGGGAAGGGGCTTCCAGGGAAAGAAGTTGGGGGCAAGCAGAAAGCAAAGGGCTACCTGACCCCTCCCCACCCAGTTTTGTCTTCCCTGCTGTAGCAGTGGGAGAGGGACAAATTCAAGACAAACCTCCAATCATTAGATTCTGTACCTGAAAAATTATAACAAATTGATAAATGTTCCATATAATGACTCTAATTACTTGGGGATTGTCTTAATCAGGGTCGTCTTCTATTTAAGTAAATATGGTAATGGCATTTCTCCAGTTTCCATTTGGTTTTGTGATTGTGGCAGTCTTCAGTAGTCAAACACAAGCACTTGTGTATATGGTTCTGCCCTTTGTTTAAGAGCAGGTTTCATGTTCAGCTCTGTGCTGTAGCTCGAGCCAGTTTTTCTGGTTTTCATCAGTATGTCTGTCTCCTTTGTCTGTTGGCAGTAGCAGCCAAATTGTGCGCTGCTGCTCCAAGTAGCTGGAGCAGTCCTAGAGATGGGAGCTTTAGTTTTCTTACTTGTACTATCTACAGGGCAGCTGTACTAAATAGGGCACCTGAACTGTCAATGGTATTTTCTCAAAACTTATAGTATAGACAGAAAAACAAGGACCGTTCAAGGCCTCTGTATGCTCACATGAACAGCTTTGCAAAGCACTAGTTAAAAGTCTTTATATCTTAGGAGGATGTGATATACTCTCCTCATAAGTGTCTTGCTTATTTTGAAATGCCACAGTTCCCCAATTTTTACATGTAAATATTGGAGTCACATTTTGCCCTGCTAATGGTGTTCTCTGTTTCCCTGTATGACTCATTGGTACCCACCTTCAGTGCAATACCTTGATGAAATAGCTTGGGGTTTGCTGCAAGCATTTATGTCTGTATTTGGTTAAATAGCCCCAGAGACCTGAGTTGGAAAATCTGTCTTGTTAGGAGATGTTTCCCTGATTTCCTTACTTGCTATGCACATGCCACTGATTAAAAATCACAGAATTGTGATCCTCAAGGCCTCTTATGTGCAGTTTCTGTACTTATTAACTGTCAGCTAGATGGGGGCATGATTTATTTGACTGAAGTAATCAAATCGATACAACTGCTAGTGTGGGTGCAGTTGTACAGGTGGGTAAGAATACTTTCTGCTAGTAGAGCTTGATCACTTAGGAAAGTGAAGCATCCCAATGCAGGGATCGAAACAATTCAGTTATAAAGTGGTTCAGCTTTTGCGCACAAATTTTGCTGAAGGGCATGGACTAATGGTCAAAATGGAACAAGTTAATGTGGCACAGACTTAGTGTGAGACAGCTGATGCAGTTTAATTGTGTGGATCTGCAGTTACCCTGTGATAAGTGTAAGCTAGAGTGAGGCAACTGTCCTGTTTTCACCTGGGGTAAGCTGTCTTGGTAGTTTAACTTTGCATTTACCATGCTGTAGGTGAGATGCAGTTACCACATGCCTGTGTTTTACAGTAAGTCTCAGCATTGTAAACTTGCCTTAATAGGATTGTTTGTCCATTATCTAAGATTGCAAGTAAGGAAACAGTGATAAGTATTTGGTGTCGGAGCATAGAGACATTTCAGCTTGACAAACCCCAGAAGTTTCTAGTCTAGATTCTTCATCTTCTGGAAGCACGCTATTGAGACTTGCATTGTTTCTTATTGGGGACTGGAAAAGCTGCAGTGACATGCTTAGTTCAAGCAGGGAGAATGATTCTTATGTTGCTAACAGTAAATGCCAGTAACAGCAATCTTCAGCTCAAAAGTGAATTCTAGCATCTTGCAACCAAGGGTTATTTAGTATGAAAGAAGGGAAAATAATGATTTGTGTTCAGCAGTCTGTGTGTGGGAGGTGGGTATACCATCATTTTTTATAACTGGATTGAATCCATCAAGGGTAATATGCAGCTAACAGTATACAGAGAGCATCATGAGAACAAAACGGATTGGGGCAGCGTATCTAATTAAATGTCGTTCAGTGAGCAGCTTGTCCATTACATTTCATTGCACCATAATAATAAAGAACAGCCAAGTCACATTTTAAAACGATGAGATACCCACATCATTGATTTAATTGGAAACTTGTGTTGCAATAATGTACAATAGCACTACATAATGTGGCTTATTGCTTAATAAGATAAATATAGCTACAGGCTCTGAAAAAAAAGCAGGGAAGGATGTGGGGATGTCAGACGAGTGGATTGCAGAGCGATTTATAAAAGATGCATATCACTATATTAAAATAACAGTGCGGCTTGCTTTAAACTCATGTGATCAAGCAAGCTGTCATTTTTGGATATGATCAGGACGGGTGATTTTCCTTCTTCAGGCTGTCCAACTATTGGAAAAATAAAACAATAGCTTCCGCTGCTTTGCCCCTGGAGTAGTGCTGGAATCCAGTGACAGCTGCCTCACCCAGACTTGACCACATGGAGAATTTTCAGCTGTATAAAAGCCAGTGGAGCCACATGTCTCTCTCTCTTCCTTGGCTGTGCTGTGCATGTAGAGTGGGGGGGGAGGTTGAAGTGAGTGCAACGTGGCAGAGTTTCACAGTCTGGGAACAGCTGGCTACATTTTGACTGGGTCCTGGAGAGCTTCAGACCCTTCTCTCCCTAGATGTTGATGCAGGAAGAAATCCAGGCCCAGTGACTGAGCTGTAAAGTACCTGTTCATAGCACTCTCAATGGTGGCGTTCATTCTGGGTCTGAAGGGCATCTTAAATGTCAGCAGATAATATCCTTTAATCCATAATTTTTGGTTGCAAGTGCCAACAGTACTGCTGTGGAAGGTTGCAGAGGTCATGAACTAGGAGTTACAGCTCACTTCTACTGCCATGTATTAAGTCGCCTCTGCCCACAGGAGCCATGAAAGAGATCTCTATCCCCTCTGCAGTACCAAAAGCTTTACTGTGTCTGTCTTGAGTGCCATAACACTAGCACTCAGAAGTTATGGGAGGTGGGTTAATGTTTCTGGCTGTGCTGTTGAGAAGGAAGTGACCCAGCTTGAATACTAATATCTGTCATGTTCTGACATCGTTAAGTGCAGTTTAAAATCAGACTTGAAATAGCAAAATAACAAACACAACCACAAATGTTGTCCTTTGGTCCATTAAAAATTGCACAAAGTTTACTGGAAGCTGCTGCAGAGTTTACAGGTCCCCAGAGAATTCAACAGTGCTAGTGTAAGAGAAATGGGGGGGTCTTGCATCAGAACATAGGTCCTTCTTGCTACAGAGTGCTTGAAGCTTTGAAGGTAGTGTACTCTCACAGACTATATTTGAATTGGCTCTAAAGGAAGTAATTCAAACTAACTTTTACTGTTGTCTGTCCCTCTTTCTTCTCTCTTATCTGAAGTTCCTACTTACAGAATGCAACCGGTGACTGCCATAGGAATACTGTCTCTCGTTCTCAACATAATGTGCGGGGCTCTGAATCTCATTCGAGGAGTTCACCTAGCAGAATATTCTTTTCAGGTAACTTTGGACTGACTTTGACTTGGGGTTGAAATATGGGTGTGGGAAGTAGAGGTGGAGGTTTACCCAGGTGCCAGATCATGGTGTGTGCAACAGCCAACTAAGTTGTACTCTTTCCAACAGGTATTTTGTTTGTCCACCGAGCTTTATGTAGGTGACTGAAGTACTTCATGCATTAGATCTGGCAGAGTTTGAACGTCAGGGTGTACTGCAAAATCTTTTTTCCCCTGGTGTAGTAGCAGGGGAGGTTGTGTTTGAAAGGTGGAGGAGAATCTTAATTTTTTTGCCAGTCTGGAGTGATCTTATGTGAACGTAGCACATTTAAAAATGTACCCAGTTAAAAAAAAGTGCATGCTTCTTGTTCTGGATGCTTTATTTTTACAAATTTGGGAAAAGCTCATCATGGAATTACACTAAATCACAATGTTTTTTAGAAAAGTTCCAGTTTTACTTTGTGACATAACTTGCTACATACCTCTCAATTTTGGACATTGTCTTCAGTGACTATTGATTTAACATCAGTCTTGACTTCACATTAATTGATCGTGCCAAAGTGGGGGAAGTACCGTGTTTGAAACATAAGGTAGTACCCAGTTAACATTTTAACTGATGCAACTTCTAAATTCTCTTTCTTCCATTCTTTTCCCACAACAGGAAGACCATGAGGGAATCGGGAATGTACTAGCATTTTTTCTACCTTTTCTAGCCTGCATCTTTGAGGTATGTTAACTTTAAGTATTGTGCTTTGTTTGATATTCTATGTATTTTGTACAATGCTGAGTCTAATAAAATGTTTTGTTGATTGAAATCAGTCACTTTAGTGAAGTAACATGAACATTTACATCATCAGTTTGCTGGGTGAGATTCTGCTTTTGGATGTTGAATGCTCATGAATAATGTTTGGCAGATGCAACGTACAGATGAAGCGTCATGTACATGTCTTACACAGTGCAGTAGTGACTAAGCTCTTCTCAACCCTATTCTGGGTTTTGCATTGCCTTCATTTTATAGGTGGGCCCAAAACTGCTGTCGTTCTGAAATACCCCTATACAAATAACTGCTTACAAAGTCAACACTCTGAAAAGCAAGGATAGATTTGGTTAGTGCTGTTCCAGTGCTGCTGTATTTTCTCTTAAAAGTCTCAAAAAGGCATGGTCATGTGTATTAAAAACATTTACTGTTTAGTTTTTAGTAAGTTTAAAGCTCTTTCACACACATACTGTAACAGTTTTTTAACACTGAGTTCTCGAGATTCAGTAGCTCAATCCTTTTGTCAGGGTTTACAGTACTTCACAGTAGGCCTGTGCGAAGCGGCTAGTATTCGGTTTGGATTCGGGGGACAGTGGTTTGATTTGGTGATTCAAATCACTGTCCCTAATCAATTTAGCTGAATCAGCCAGGCCTATCCCCCCTAGCCCAGCAATGGCTTCTCTGCCTGTCCCAGATCCCGGCACTTTGGGAAAAAAAAAGCCCTGACTCAGTGGGTGCTGCCAGGTTAGGGGCAATCCCCGCTGCCCCCCACTGCCCCACACTGTGTGGGAGGCTCTGCACAAGCCCCCCGCCCACTCCCCCAGCTCCCCCATGGCTTCCCTGCATGTTGCAGCTCCAGCCCTTTAAGAAAAAAAAAAAAAAC